AAGTCGGTAGGCGCGCCGTTGCGGGGTGGATGGTGGATGGTTGTGGATAGACATGTTGGACCATTATTACCAAGGGGTGGGTCAGAAGTCCCAAGAGCCAGTAGACCACAGAGATTGGTTCGTGGTAGTAATGCGAGTCTTCCACGCGAGGCTATGATTTTCGGTCTCCTAGGAAAACAATCTGACGCGGCTGACGCGTGCAAGCCGAAGCTTATGGGCCTGGGAACCATAGGCTTAAATCGTTGCGCAGGACTTTGAAGATATGGATATGTAGATCAATCAAGTTTGGTCCGTGTTGAATTTGGTTCAGGCTGCCATTTCTTGATGTTCTTTGTTTGGCCAAGCCTCAATGAATCTTCGGCTTCTCCCACTGCTTGCAGCTTTGGCTGCAGAACACTCGATTCAGTGATTCAGTGCGTAACTCTCTTTGCCGACTGGAGCGTATCGCCGCTGGATAAAGTTCCTCCTTTCCACAGCGACTTGGATGATTTTGTGAGGGCGCGCTTCCAAATTTGTTGAGTCTCTACAATCCATTCTTTGGCACTCTAAAGCTGCACAACACCAGAGGTTTCTTCTCTTTTGCAATAGTGGTTTCTGGACTAATGTAAGCTGAATGGACAACTTGGCTTGCTCCTTGCTTCGTAAGCGCCACAATGTCCGACTCTTTTTTGCACATGACTCAGCTGCTGTTCAAGCAGGTGACCTTCAAGTAGATTTTAGTGTGTGCACCAGACGCGGTCCCAGACATCACCATGTTGGCGTTCTCAACCTTGATGGCCTTGGCGCTGGTCCGGGCAAGTCCCCCAGGTGGTGGGCTGGCCTGTCAGGCCTGCGAGGGCGAGGTCACCGGGTTCTTGCAGACCCATCAGACCCAGTCGGGCGAGGGAAAGGATTCATCATGGACTTTGATGAAGCCCAATCCGAAGTTGTTTGAGTGGAAGTCCGTGGGTACTATGCCGTGCCATCAGTGGCCGCGCAGTTGAAGAACTGCGACCCAAAAACCTTTTTGTGCAACGAAACGCAGAAGCAGCAGTACATGAAGAACAATGCCAGCTTGACTGAGAATGATTGGCGCAAGATCATGGTTGGTTACTTGCACGTTCCTTTGAGCTATGATCACACCAAGAAGTCTTCATTGATCAATCTAGATCTTCGCGTTTCTGTTTGGATTGGCTTGAAAGGACCAGATGCTCCCCTGGTGCTGCAACACAACGGGGGGCCTCGAACCGCTGATGCTGGACCCGTCCAGATGCAGTGGTCCTTCCTCAAGTCTCCCGTGGGCAAGGTTCAGCTGGAGAAGGAATACAATATTCTTGGCATCCAGCAAAGAGGCATGTCCGATGACAGCAACTTGGGGCATTGGCCGGAGCCGATTGTCTCGAAGACCTTTGAAGGAGTATGTGGTAAACGGTTAGAACCTCCGGTGGTCAAAGAGAAGTCATACAACTTGAGGGACTTCACCACTTGTCCATGCAACCTTCCTGAAGGTGACAGTGAAGCTCCTGAGCCCTTTCCAGATCCGGAGGATGAGACGGCGGTGGACCAATGGTTCGCCTTTGCTGCGAGCCGGAACCAGAACTGTTACAAGGCGGACTATTGGAAGATGAGCCATGGAAACGAGAGTTTCAACTACCTGGACTATGTGGGAACCCAGACTTTGGCCATGGACATTGATCGCTTGCGTCAGGCCTTGGGCGCTGAGAAGCTGAGTTTCATGGGCCTCAGTTACGGCACGGCAGTGTCAGCAGTTTATGCCACAGCCTACCCAGAGCATGTTGGGAAGGTCGTGCTCAACGGAGTCGTAACACCTGGCCCTATGAAAGAGGACTACTACTCGAGCCAAGTGATCTCATCGCAGCAGGCCATGGCAAAGTATCTGCAGATTTGCAATGATGAGGGGGAGAAGCAGCATGTGCCAGATGACATGCTTACGAGATGTGCTTTGCCAACCACCGATCCGGAGCTCTTTTTCGCAGATCTTGTGGAGAAGATCCGAAGGAATGCCTCCTCGCCATCGTCGATGTATTCCAGAAGCACCCGCACAGGCAAGGCCTTCACTCTCACGCCCCCGATGCTTTATCAATACATGAACGCCGATGTATGGCTGCCATCAGCCTCTCCGTGGACCAAAACCCTCGAACTCTTGAACATGCTGGGTGGCCACAATGAATCTGCTGTGACCAGTGCCACAGAAAGCATTTTTGATCAAGTGTGCACGAACGACTGGAAGACCTATGGATACTGCTTCGACTACATGGACTATGTCCACGGCGCACACTCGGATGGCGGGCTCACCGAGAATGCGGTCCGTGGCCTGGATTATGCAGGCGTCTACTCTGCCAAGGGTGGCAAGGGCGTTTTCAACGCCTTGAAGGACCGCTACGGTGCTTCACCGCTCTTCTTCGGGAACATGAAGGCAGGCTATGGGCTGATGTCCTGGGCTCCCTTGCCCACGCCGGCGCAGCTGGGGTCCCGGCCGGGCATCCGGATGCTTGTGGTCAACGACCTGTTTGATCGTTCCACACCTTATTCCAGTGCAAAGCAGATGCGCGAGGTGTTTCCCAGTGCTCATCTCATGACATGGCAAGGAACAGGTCATATGGTCTCTTACGCCGCAGACAGCTACGACCCAGAGGGCGTCGAGAGCTGCGTGGAAAGGATCAATGATTTCATGCTGAATGACGTGATGCCCCCTGAGGGGTTCACATGCCACCAGACTCGCAAATTCACATGGTGAATGCAGCTTCAGCTTAGCTTAGCTAAAGGCAGTCTTGATTGAGGCTCAAGGCAAACTACAGTAGAAGGTTACGATTTTCAAGCGCCACGCAACGCCACTTAAAAGAGTAGCGTGTGTGGCGTGAGGATTTTAATTCGACTTAGCTATTGGATTTTGAAAGTGGGCTGGCCATTTTCAACCGGAAAGTCTAGGAAGACAGCTGCATAGTTTTGGCATGTTTTGGCACTTCTCAACAAGCAGAGGCGCGAAAAGTGCTATTTGCGAACTTTGACAACGGAGATCGCAGTGAAGCAGGGTGTGCGGAATGAGACGAAGTTGGCAAAAACCAAATCGGCCACACTTGGAATGATCGTTTTCTTTTTTTCTTTAAATGAAACTTGGCCAGGAAGGATTTGTAGAGTTGGAATGTGCCAGGTTGGTCATGGACGCCCTGAACCGGGCAAGAGGATGCCAGGCCGAGCGACGAGCGACGGTTCGTTCGGGCATTTCTCAGCACGACATGGTAGTGGTAGTAGCAGAATTTGCTTGGCAGATCTTGGCAGATATTAGCAATAGCAGCTAGTAGCAGCAGATGGAGTGTGAGGTTGAGAAAGAGCTGCAGCAGTGGTAATGTATGCAGCGCTGTGAAGCCAACGCCAATGGTCATATTTTCATAAAACATCGTTCTTGTGCTTGGAATACTTTTAAAGAAAGATAGCAACTGCACATTTGTGAGATGAGATAACGCA